TATGAGATTTTCTTATAAAAACTTCATATGTTTTTAATTATTATAAAATAGAAAAAGAAACTTGATTTTGAAAGTAGAAGTGAGTTTAATAAAACACTGTAAATTATAACAAGTGAAATTTTCAATAAGTCTGACTCCTCGCGAGATATGACACGTGCCCACTCTCTATCTCTCCATCCCCTTGACCTTTCACAACCGAAATTTAATAGAATCAATGCCCCTTATATTCACGCTACCATGCCATATTTCGTTTCTTTGTCTTCGTAGCATCCTGAGATATTACGGAATTAGACACCAACACACATACATATACATACATACTCACGGATATTTTTTTTCGTTTTGTTTGACTATTTTTAGGTTTAGTTCTCTCAAAACGTGAAGATTTGCAAAAACTCGGTCGAATTCGACACGATTCCCTTTATACCCTTGCTTTGTATAAATAACAGTTTAGCCAGGTTTTTTTTAAATTGTTTTCAAACTCACAACCTGAAGAACTCTTATAAAACATTTAACATTGTATTATCATATAAGAATGATAAACTAAAAGTAGTGTTGGCATATATATGATTTCAATTGTTGATCTCTTGTAATTTGAAACAAAGGCTATTAAAATGATCTTCTTATGCGAGTAAATTATTAGGTGTGATTTAAAAAAATAAGATCTGTTATCAACTGTTAAATAATCAGAGTGTTTCCTTATACGGTAACACGTTACAATGGTGCATTAATATTAAATACAGTTTATATTCTTAATTTAACTTTCTGTAAACTGTACTGTAGACTAATTTGAAAAGAATAATGTATATATATGTATTACTTGACAGGCAACGTTTGGACAGACGCAAAATGAAAATATACTTAAAGAACTATTAAAGGGTAAGTTTTTTTTTGTAATATATTGATATATATATTCTAAAAAATTAAATAATTTCTGGCTATTCGCTTTTCTTTGTCAGTTTCTGTTAGGTTCTATTAGAAACTGAAAAGAAACTGACTGAATTAGTTGTATTGTTGATAGAATAAACAATATTTTTAATGGTTACACGTGTTAAAGATTCGTCATAGAAAATAATAGAAAAAAGTATTATTTTTAATTTTTATGTATCAAGACAGCGCATTGAAAATAAATATGCCATAAATAAAAATACCGAAATTCACATAAGTTGTAAATATAAAAAAAACAATAATTTACTGACATTAAATTGTTATGTTTTACTACATTTTTACAGAACTTATTTGAAGGACGAAAATGTTTTATATCATATACTTACACAGCTTAATTTTTACTATCATGTAACTGTTATTAGGTTAAACTTTAAAAAATAATTAAATAAAAATAAAATATTTATTAGATATTAATTACAGTTGAGAACAGTAATGAATCTTTAACGATGCTCAAGAACTGTACACAAGTTCAAGTTGGACCAAAATTTGAAATTCATACCGAAGAATTGAAAAAAAGTTTACTAAAGAAAGAAGATGAAGAAAGGAATGGTAATTTCGTATCTTTACAATAACATTACAAGAGCATCATCATTATAGTTTTACTTTCTGAGTTATTTTATGATGTCAATATCTGTAATTCAGCCATCATATTAATTACATTATAAATGCTTTAATTATTAAAATTATTAAAAATTAGTTTATTATATTACCTTACTACTGAATGGCTTAAATACATAAAGGGCTTTATTCAGAATTTACCTTCAGGAATATAGTTGTATTTGCGTCGATGATTTTACTATTAACTACGTATTGTAAGCGGAGGAACACGAAGGGCCATATATTAATAACTATTTAATGGTAAATTAATTTCAAAAGTTCTTTAAGAGATGTATTGTGAAGCGTTGTATGTATTATTTAAGCCTTTACACTTTTTTATTTCTTTTTATAAGAGAAAAATGTTACGTTAATTTGCATATTTACTTGTTTTATATTCTACGAGATCATTATTAAATGAAATTTATAAAATAGAAAGAAATAAAAACAGTACTTTCATCAAGCCATCATTTTGTTTCTAATTCTCAATTAACAAACAAAATATAAAGTACACGAAATTTCATTAACTGTTGTTACATTTTTTATAGAAATATTGAAGAGTTTCCACCAAATGTTGAAAAACAAATACAAGACATACTTTTCCTACATGAGGTCTTTTTTGTGGGAAGGCAAAAGGAACGATTTTCCATTAAAGGATTATTTCGAAGAACTGACTGTAAATAAGGCAGATTTATTTGGGAAGAAAAGAGGAGAAAAGATAAGTCTGAATGAGATATTTTCCATACAACAAGACGGACATCAAACTATTTTATTTACAGGGGATCCCGGTTATGGCAAATCAACTCTGTGCAAGAAAATTGTGTACGATTGGGCAATCACGAATTATCTCAAACATTTTGATTTAACTTTTATTGTAATTTTAAGAGAATTAGGTAATAAAAGCGTGAAGGATGCATTACTCGATGACATACACGAATACTCGCCAACTAATAAGGATTGGAATCTACAGGACATGCAGCTGAATATCTTGGTGTTTTTGGATGGTTTCGACGAGATTGTAGATAAATCTAAAATTATAAGATTTATAAGACAGGAATCTTTTTATATTTCTCGTCGAATGACGATTGTGGTTACCAGTCGACCTCAAGCCGCAGAAGACATCAGAGAAGACATGAACATGAGGTTTTCCATAGAAGGGTTTTCTCCAGAATATCAAAAGAAATATATTAAATCAATATTTAGAGAAGAGGAGAGAAAAGCAAACGAACTGTTTTCTAAACTGTATAAAGACGACTTTTATGCAAAATTATCGAAATGTCCTCTGANATTATTAAAAGTCAGTAAAAATGAAGAATTGGTTGCATTGGAAGTTGAAGTATTCCGAGGAATTTCTGACAGATATGTTATTTCTTTGGAGCAATACGAAACTTTACGTGATCGTATCGTACTTAAATCTGCGAGTACATAAAATTCACAATGTGTGATGATGTAGACGAGTGTAAAATAAATGACAGAGTATTGAAATAACAAAATAGTATAAACTGTTTAATAATACAATAAATATAAGTACAAGTTTTAAGAAAGATAAAAC